CAATTGATTTGCGATGTGGTCATCAACTGCTGAAAAAGCATTCTAAATCCAGCTGTTATGGCCAGAAACTGATGCAGAAAGGATAGTGTGTCTTTAAGAACCAGGAAGAAGAAGACAAGCAAAGAGACCAACAGAGACAGATCCTCCAAACTTCAAGATAAGCACAAAGTGATTATAAAAATTAATATGAACTTGTACGTAGTTTACTAACTTGAGAATGTTCATACTCTGCACTTGTCAGAGTGCCTGGAACATCATGTGGGTTCAACAATAAGTGTAGAGCAGATGCCTAAACTGTTCTTGTAAAGGACAGTCCTAGTCTGTGATTTGCAAGTTAAGTGTGACTGTTGAAGAGAGGGAACTGCCAGGGTCTAAGGATGTCATCATTCTCTAAATCCCTTTGATGAATAGAAAATGGGAAGGGAGACAATAAAGCAACATTCTGTTTCCTGAGGACACCCTAGGCATTGAGTCAGCATGGTTACTTCAACAAACACTCTTTGATCATCTGCAGTTGTTTTTTACTTCACAATGCTTACATTCTAATCGAAAGGAGAGCCTATGGAGAGATGGAAAATAACAACAACAGGGACTAATATTAGCTGAGGGCAGCAAAAGTATTTTTAAAGGGGAAAAATATCATTAGCAATGGGTGCTTGACTATCTGGTAAATTGCTATGACCACAGTCCTTTATGAATTTAAATGGAGGCAATATTGCCACAAATATTAGAGTATGTGCTCTCCTATAATTGGATATGGAAAGTTACCATGTATAAGCTAAGATCCCAATCTAGGGTCTCTGTTTCTGTAAATTATGATTACTTATAATTTTTTAAAAGTCTACCTTCTTAATTATTTAACATTGTGTCAATCAGCCATAGAATGTGATGCATCTTAGAAAGCAGTTTCTTAGTGGCACCTCCTTGGACCCAACAGAAGTGAAGAGCACTTCATCCCCGCAATGGACCCGAACCACTGCAAAGGGTAATTGAGAATGACCAAATAAAGCCTGGCAATTCCTACCTTAATGAGAGAAAAAGGAACATTGTCTAGGACATCAAAGAGTACTGCCCACACTTCCCATGAAATGAGTTAGATAACTATTTGTATTAATGCCCCTATAAACACACAAATAAATATATTTTACTGTAATGTTGACTGAGTGAAGAATGATTATGTGAGACTGTAGGAATCTGTTAACTCATGTCGACCAAAGTGTTGATAATTTTCAGAAAGGATGTGTTAAGCAACCTTAGCACACAGAAGGTAGATTCTTGAAAAAAATACTGTGTGCAAAACTTAGGATAAAAACTTTCTCTCAACATAAAGAATCTAATTATTTATTGTGTTTTGATCATGGGGAAAATATTTTACTTACTACCTACCTTTATAGATGGCCTTTCCTTAAATAGATTATGCCTTGATGTATGTTTGACATAAGCTTCGATTCATGAAGATGATTTTCATTAAGCACTCTATTTAAAAATGTATGACCTCAGAAAGGGGAGGAAAAAAAATATGAAGAGAGCCAAATTCCATCACACATGCATACATTTATCTTTCAACCATGCTAAAAGGCTATGCATGTACCAGCAATACCATATTTGTGTGTGTGTTACCTTACTGAGGAAGTTACAATGTGAGCTACCAGTTAAATTTCCAACTAAATCATTTTCTGGTGCCCCCAAAATTGTAAAATCAGTAAATAACTGCGTTAGCTCACTGTTGCTCTTTAACTTTCAGGTTAAAGCATGACAGTTAAAAACATCTTTGACAAATACAACTTGGCTTAAGAGTTCCTTCCACAAATGAAGTTTTAGGACAAACTTCTAGTGGATGGTTGGAAAATTCTTTAATACAATATCACATCAATTGGTAAATGAGCTTCTGTGAATTAGGATCCGGAAAATGTTTCACTCACAGAGGTAGGGCCCGACTGTACTATTTTTCTTTGCTTCCATTCCTTTCTCAAATGACTGAGCAAGTTTATTAGAGGACAAAATCAGTGTCAAAACCATCAAGGGGGAGTTCAGGATGAAGCTACATGTGTCTGATATCTGCCATGTTCCAAGTGCATAGGACAAGCATGGATTAGGCATTTCCATATACTTAATTGTGTCATTCTGTTCTGTTATTTCTCAGATAAAGGAAGTAAGGTTTGAACTAGAGTATGCATGTATTTTATTCAATGTCACATACCAAGTGCATAGGGGAGCTTGCACATTAACATACTGCTCTGATATTAAAAACCCTGCTTACATGTGTATTCCTCACTGCCTTTCAGGTTGCACCAATTATCAGAACCCATAACCTTGATTTGAAAATCCCAAATGTTCATTTTAAATCTATTTGGTATTGCTTTGAGAGGTACCACGGGAGTCTGCTTAGCATAGCCTGCTTTAGTAGCTGTTTACACTAATTATTTCAATATTTTAAAAACATAAAACACTTTGGTTATAGGAGTTGTAGTTTTACAGTGTTTCGCATCCATGAACTACTCTCACTGTCGTGTTAACAAATACAGAGGGAGTGATATAGTTAAGGAAAAGCATGCCACCAAGAGTAAGGGTCGGAATTTATACAGTCCAGAATTTGGATATTTTACTCATAATAGCATACCTTTTTGTAGCATAGGGAATAATAAGAGTGGTTGGTTTATGAACTAAGGACAACAACAACAAACCCACCTTTATTTGCTATTTTCATTTTACCAGCTTTAAAATCTATTTGCCAAAACAGGTCACCCTAGAGTCACAGGTCCATAAAAAGTGACAAGAGAATTTTTCATTTTCTCAAATTTTAAAATTGGCACAAGTTTGACTAGTTATTTTCCATGTGGCTCATGTTTACTTATCTAGCGCTGGTAGGAAGAGGATGCCACCTCCTAAGCCTTTGAAAATATTAGAAAGAATGAATTCTACCTTAAAATGTGGTAACCCATCCCATACGATCACAGGAAGAAGTAAAACAGAGTGCAAAACTGCACATGTGAAAACCAGGAAGGTGAAGCACATCAACTGTGTCTGAGAAAATACGTGAAAATATATACATGGTATGTTTGACATTTTGGAGCATCCTTGGGGAGACATTGATTTGTAATTCAGATCACATAGCATCTTTGATTTCTCCCACTTGCCCATGGCCTTTCCCCACCCCCTCCCTCCAACTCCAAATAAAACACAAAAGCTTTCTTGGCGATGGATGGAGAGCAACCCAGGAATCTGTGCAGGGACTATCCATCACATTTCTGTCTTAATTGAATGACACCAGAATGAGATCGATAAAATGTAACAAGAGACAGCTTTGCATTTCCACACTCACTTATTCCCCCTCTCTATTACTCTCAGCGACCACCGTGACCAGAAAGCCCAAGTACAGAACATGACCGCCGCTGCCAGGCAAGCTGTTCGGATATGAATAAACTTGTCAGGGAAACAACACAACTTACAAACCTTCGAAGGGAGCTGGGGAGACAAAGGTTATGAGAGTAGCACTGACTAAATAGGCTTCTTTAAAAAAGCAATTTCATAGATGCATTCTCACTCCTAAATAACCTCCTCTAATGTAATGTTTCAGTTAGGTCATCTCAGCAGCTGTCCCCATGACCACCCCCTCCCCCCGACCCCCCAGATTTCTTGAGAATGCATCAGGGGCTGCCTCAAAAGTAGATATGGTGACATCTCAGCTCAAACCTGCAAGTCCTACAATAAATGCTGGGCAGCTGCGATGCCCCCATGCACCAGGTTCCTGAGATCTCCAATGCATTATTGATAACCTCATCACGCTGCTAAAAGCACAGGCTGACATTGTTCTAATCTCAACCTTCTCCTGGAGAGCTCTGGCTCTGTGTGGGAATCGATCACAGGCAGAGTAAACCAGAGAGCAACACTGCACATGTGAAAACCAAGACGGTGCAGCATCGCCTAGAATAGATTCACCTCATTCGGGTTGTGTTAACTACAATCGCATGGCCTGCTACGATGTTTCTATATCTTTGACAGTTTACAATGTGGCCAGATGCTAAGCTCTTTGTTGCCATAGTTCATTTAATATGCCACATCTTGAGCTTGTTAAAAATTATTCCTGGAACGAAAAGTCTGTATGATAAAAAATGTCTTCCATGTAGTTTCCAAAAGTGCATTTTCTTTTAATGCTTCATTCCAGTGGGTTTTCTCCAGGTTATTTTGAGACTTAATTAGATATAGGTGACTGCTCTAGATACAGTGTCTCTCTTCCATGGCCATGTGACAACTCAGAGAGCTATGTACCTCCAGAGATACAGAGAGTAAGTACCTCTGTACTCTCTATAATTTTGCTCTTTTATTCTTTTAGATAACAATGTAAGATTATAGCACGTATCAGTGGCTAACTTCTTTATAGGTTTTTATTTTATTATTCAGTGTATTATTCGCAAAAATGATACATTGAATAATATGACAAAATATGGGTCCCATCTCATCCCAAGTAGGCAGAATAGAGAACTTGAAAATATATCCGAACCATGAGTTAGAGCTTGACTATTTGCTATGCTCCGGCTTAGAGATAATAGCTTCAGTAGCCTGTCTTTGCTGTTAAACCCTATTTTCATAGCTGGTATATGGCTAGGTAATTTGCAAAATAATCACTTGTCTCAGGTTACCACTGAATTCTAGAGCAAAGCAGCTTGTAATGAAACCATTATTTACAAATGAAACAATGGGTCATAGGGAACAAAAGGCAAAACATACACTGTTTTGTTTCACCTGCAGACATTGGTCACCTGAAGCAGGGGCTGAAGCCAGGCAGGAACAAACCTGTTTCATCTGCCTTTCACAGTTGAGGCCTGCATCTGATGTCATGTCAATTTCCCCCAAGTTACAGATTTTCTGTTGCCCAGCACAGTATAAGGTCCCAGAAAATGTGGATTTAATAGGAAAAACGTGTGTCTTTATGCAGGTATGCACATACTGTGAGACAAAATGTACCCAGGACATTCTAAAATAGATAAAACTTAAAATACCTTCAGGCTTCTCGCGTTGCGCTTCTCGCGTTGCTTTATGGTGATTGGTGCTATTTAAGGCAGCCAGAACCCATTTTCCCCAGTGCTGCAGCCGCTTCACCCCTGGGGGGAAAAACAAAAACAAAAAAACAAGTTGCATGGAATGGGGAACTTCTTTGAGCACCATAAACTAAAACTAACTTGGAATAAGTATCTTTTACCTCTGAGCACTTTTTTATTTTATTCATTGCTGTTTGCTTAGTTGGTGGGCCACCGAACAGTTAGCAGTAAGAGAAAGAGGCTATTTCTGGTATGAACCAGCACATCACTGAAAAAAAGAATTAAAATGCAACAAACAACAGCAGAGTTTGGTGGGATCTGGTGGTTCTGCTGTGGGCACACCTCTGATGAGGGAAGCGGATGAACCCCACCGAGGCCCTGTAGGTGAGGGAATGCTACTGTCCACAGTGTGATATCCCACCAGGAATATACTGAGTGCTGTGGGGTGCTTCTTGTTGTGGGTGTTATTGTGTGAGGGTGGTTTTAATTTTTAAAATGAGGCTGTGGCTAATTAGGGGTGTTGGCACAGCTTGGACTGATGAAACCGATTACAATTATAAAAGATTCTGGGGCTGGAGCAGGCAAAGATGCTGGCTGCTGCCCGTGTAGACCCAGCGGTGTCTGTATGGTTGTCAAGTATGATTATGCTAGGAGCAGGCTGGATTTATTGGCTTTTTCCCTATAGGATTCAAATGCCCATGCGTGGAGCTCATAGTACTATTACCAGAGTCTTGGTTCCTCTTTTGTATTGTCCCTGAACATTTAGGAAATTCAAGAAAGAAAAAGCAGACCCACTTTACTCTCCAGAGTCTACGAGAAAGCTGGATGAGTAAAAGAGAACAATTATCTTTCCCAAGTAACCTTATCATTCTTCAAACTTAAAGTCAGTCTCAATCCTGTTTGTTTGTCACATTCTATATATTTGAAACTGATAAGAAACAAGAGAACATACTTGATATATACCAATAAGGTGAAAAAGGAAAGACTGAATTTTGTTTAAGGAAATGTATTTTCTAGAGCATGAAGAGAGGAAGAAAGGAAGAAAAGAAAAAAAGAAAGAAAGAAAGAAAGAAAGAAAGAAAGAAAGAAAGAAAGAAAGAAAGAAAGAAAGAAAGAAAGAAAGAAAAAGAAATAAAAAGTAAAAGAACCTTTGTCTAATCCTATGGGGTAACCTATTGAAATGCAGCATCTAAACATGGTTTATGTTTGAGTTTTGTCCCCTCATGAGCATTCTTCATTTAGGAGATGTGCATTTATTACAACACGTTACAAAAGAGCCTGAATGGGTATTCAAATAACTGCTGCAATCAAAAGATTCTTTTTTCAAAGAAACAACCACAGATTTATATAGTTTTTGTGCTTTGCCATGGACATTCTAAAATGATAGAAAGATTCTCATTTGTGGCCCCCTCCTTCCCTGGAAGCTATTGAATTGTTCTGATTTTGTACAGTGTAGGACAATCCTGCAAAAAATAAAACATTTCAACTTTGTACAAAAGGTGAGGCTTTCCATTGGAAGTGTTTCTTTAGCAGGGAAAAAAATAGAGAAAATGGGCTGACAGCTTTAGAAAACTTAAACAATTCCCCTTGCCAAAATACGGATTTCGTGATTTTTCTCTAATTTCAGATTTGGTGCATATGTGTCGGGCTAACAATGAATGCTTTCAATTTTAACATTCAATTTCTTCTCTCCCTGCTCAAAGCAATCTTCACTTTTTAATAGGCAATTATTTTTCTAATTGCTTCTTAAAAACTTTTTTTCAGGATGACTGTGGGACACTCCACTCTACGTTATACATTATGGATGCATTTAAAACAAACTGAGAGCATTGTAAATTGCAGAATGCACTTCATTGCTAAGAGTATCTTAGAATGAGGAAGAAAAGCAAGGAGATTATTTGTCAAAGTATTAGAAAACTTTTGAAACTTACAAATTCATAAAAATCACAGGCAAAGTCAGTTGAGAACAATTCTTTTAAGTAAAAATAAAAGGCAAAATAGCATTGGCTATGATTGTTTTAATGGGATATATAGTGTATTATTTTCTTCCATAGGCATTAAACCTCACTTCACAAAATATTGTACTCTCCCATTTTTTTTCTTTATAATCTATTACCTTCAAGGAACACACTTTTCTATGCTAGAAAGAAATAAAACCAACCTTTTATAATCTCAACTGTTCATATATATTTTCACTTGAAATGTAATGCCTCAAAACACACTCTTAGGTGCAAAAACAAAACAGAAAAAAACTAGTTAGAAATCAAGAATAAAAATATGCTACATTTTATTAGACTCAATTTAACTCTGAGACATGAAAAGAAAGACAATGCCATCTAGCCCTGTGCTACCTTAGAAAAGTGTCTTACAAAAGCAATGCTAATTTCAATGTTGCAGACACAAACAGAATAATGAGAAGGCATGTGGCTAAGCAGTTGAAATTTGTAATTCTATTCTTTTATAGATCATTCCAATAGGTTTTAGTTCAAATCAGAAACCATAAGTTGATGTTTCATGAAACCAACTAAACATATAATGAAAGCTTCCTTCAATGACCATGTTTTAAAATTAATATGTGACAGACTGTTTAAAAGACTTGTTTAATTATTAATAGAAACATTTTATCATATAGATTTTTTTAAGTTGCCCTTGTTATTAACTACCACTGATTGCAATAGGAGGTAAAATACAGAACATGGCTGGGCCGGTCTATCAAAGCTCTAATTAGGGTCATGCTATAGAAAAACAATGAAGTGATTTTGTCACCAATTACTGACAATTAGCCTAAGTACAACAGTTAATTTCATGGAAATAAAACCACTATAAAATGAAAGGAACAAAAACTATCATAATTAATGGCATTTGCCTGCATTCCTCTACTGTGTTTTTTTGTTTGTGTTTTGTTTTTTGTTTTTTGTTTTTAACCATAAAAGTTTTGAAACAACTTGAACAGCTACACAGGTACACAAAATTCAAGAGTCTATGTTTCTGGGCTTTCTGATTTGTAAGTGTCTGTGGGAACACATCACTTAGCAACAGAATTATGTATATTAGTCTTTTATCCCTTAAACCTAAATACTTCATACATGCAGAGTGTGCACTTGTTAAACAATAAAACCAGTATGTTTAGTTACAGAGAAATGTCTTGGGATAGCATATCATTCCACTGTTGCACTGCATCTAGATAGAGTGAACTGCCAATAATTGCAGGAATGTTACAAAGTTAAAAGTTCCCAGTCTCCCTTGCACTTCTGTCCCACTCAAACTTTTCTCTCCACTTGCTTCTTCTTCCTTTTTTTAAAAAATGTTGCCCTGCTGTCCTAGTCATGAGCCTGGGGATGTCTGGGCTTCTGCCTCATGTCAGTTTCATCTCATGCATGAACGCGGTCACACGTTTCAAAAGTTGCAGAGTCACAAGGCGTCAGGAAGTCAACTCAAGCTTTAAAATGTTGTGCTGGCTTCTCTGAAAGCCAGAGAGGATTCATTTTGCAAGTTACCTACCAATCAAGAAAGTAAAAATACTTCAAGGCCAGGGACTTCTAACTCTAAACTTCGGAAAGTGTACCCTCGCCAAGACTTTTCTCGTTTCCACAAGTTTTGAAAACAAAACGTTAAGACCTAACAAAACATCTATAAACAGCCACATCGCCTTTAAAACTGTACATATACCAATAAACATTTTAGGGGTTTTTTGGCCACGCGGAGATAAGATCCTCTCTGGGGAGAGGACCAGAAACTGCTCTGTCTTTTGTGCAGACTCCTGGAATGTGCTTGCCTTTCATTTCTTTCTTTGTGTCTGGCACGCTGGCCTCACAGGCAGTGTCTTAAGCCAGGCAGGGTCAGGGCAAACAGAGAGCTGCATTCATGGACAGATCAAGTTTATGTGAGAATCTGCTCCTCCACTGCCCTCAATCTCCATATGAATCGTTAATAAAATCTCAGCCTGAAAGCTCATCACCCCAACAGTGGGGAAGTCATGCAGAGAATCCTCTAGCTCAGAAAAACAAGATTTCTTTATCTTTTTTCATCCTTCGCCAGCATTCGTGGGAATTCTGCCATGTAACCTCCTCCTGAACCAACCCCCCCCGCCTCCGCCTTCCCTCCAACACCCCACCTCTCCCCACAAGTTGCACCTGATCACCAGGGAAGGCGAGGAGCTAAAAGACAAAAGAAGCATTCTGACATCCACAGCAAATCTACCACACCAACTTTGCCTCTGCAGTAATTTGCTGCTCTAAAAACCTTCAGGCGAAAGGAAACATCAATGCTTCATTTTTTCCAGCTTGTGTCAAGCAGCTGGGAAGACTTTCCCAGAGCTTTATGACACCACATGAACCAGAGAGCCACAGATATAATACAAGGTCACATTTAAAGCGAGGAACAGACTCATACCCTAATTAACTTGATATCTCCATGCAAGTACTGGACAGGAACAAGGCTCCATGTATGTTGCAGCCAATCTTGCGTGTATCTTGCTACAGGCTAGCTGGGCCTCTTGTTTCCTCTGCTTTTGCTCCTTGCAAACTGTTTTAATATCGAACGCTTTTCAGTGGGATGGGCTGATGAACGAAAACATGTATTTCCTGCTTGCCCTTTAAGGTGGGTTAAAGGGGGTGCCAGCAACCAATTACAGAACAAAAGAACACAAAATGAGAGAAGACTTAAGATCCTAAGGAGTGAATGTGTTGCATTCTTTGCCGTCTATTTTTTAAACTAAGTGTTTCATTTTTATTCGCTCTTATCATGAATAGTGAACAATATCTATTTCATTTAAAAAAATGAAAGCAGTTGACCCAGTAGCTCCTGAAGGAAATCTACTGTTTTCTACTCAAAAAGTCTTTAAATGCACTTCACTTCCATTTCAACTTGATAATAATTTTACAAGGAATAAAAAAGTTTGAAAGTTTATCCAAATCTGTGAATCAGATATTCACATTACTTTAATATACTTAGGTACATTACAGAATAAGAAGTTATATTTTCAGCCCTAATGAACATTTGGACCCTATTACATCTTTGTTTCTTCATTTATTTTGGTCAGTAATGCAACATTAACTTCTAAA